GGTATACAGCCAATCAGTGAATGTGATTTGAAAAGCCATTTTTATTGTATAAAAGACATAATGAAAATGAATAAAAATTGTTCAGCAATACTATAGCAATATTAGGAATATTATTTTTCATTCATTTCATTGTCGTATTGCCCAGCCCAAATTCAAAGCAATATAAATGAATGTTATTATGTTAGCACCATTGTTCATTGTCAATGGCAATTCAGTTTTTAATATAATAAACTAACTCTATAATGACGGGAAGAAGGAACATTGATTTTAATAGTTATTTGCATGAACATTTATATGTAATCAAAGTATGCAAGTGATCCATCTGATGAGTATACAGTTTGATAAGTGTAACCAGTAAACTAGTCTATTCTTAGTATGAATTTGGTGCCCTTGTCTGGGATGAAGCTATAATAGAAGATGACCTTTCCTCGACTACGCCAGTAATTTGTCTGATAATCTGGGCCTAAATCCAAGAAGCACCAGACGAGCAGTTCAAATGTAGACCTGCAAATCCACAGAATCTATTTTAAAAAATTTAATGATTTCCACAGATTCCTAAGTGGACATGAGAATAATTAAAAAGTCATACATTACCTTTTACCATTTATACCCATTTGATTGAAATAGCTAGTACTAGTACAGCTGTCTATCACTAAGCAGCAGGTGGGACCACAGACACAAGATCTGATTTGCATCTTACAAAAGGCACCACTGTTTTGTTGGTTTTGGATTAATAATTAAAGAAAAGCACCACCAATGACCATCAGAAATAAAAGAAAAGGTTAGTTTTGTTTTTCCTGACACAGCTAAAACACACAAAAAAATTGATTGCAATGAGTAGTTATAGAATATTAATTTTGTTACTCAGAGATCTAGATGTGAAGATAATGTAAAAGGTAAAACCTTTCCATTAACATATCACTAGGCAACGTTCTGAAACAAAACCTACACCACAAAGACACCACAAATTTATTTGCAAAGTGCCAACAAGCCAAAGGAGAAAGTGAAACCAAATTGTTTCATAAAGACACCTGCTATAGTCTATGTTTAGCTTAGCGGTACCAATCTTAGAAATTCCAATAACTTTCCAACCACCCCCCTCCAATTAAAAAAAAACAACAAAAAACACTGAGTCACTGTTGGACATCTCATGAAACAGTTTTTGTTTTGGTTCTAATACGCAACAACATACACCCACTATGACATCACAGCTAGCTACTGACAACAAGTTTGTTTGATCCTGAATCATATTTCTTGTAAATAAATAATTGGCTGTCTCTGCGGTAGAGGAAGGTGGCGCAGGTACGACTGGGCCCAAAGCTATCCCCGAATAACCTCCATTAAATTATATAAATAAGTTCTACTTCAAGGTTCACAGAAGCGTAATCTCGCGATATTTACTCGTCTCTCAAGTCAACTGATGAAATTACGTTCAAAGTCATGCTCCTTAACATAACAGTATAAAGACTGTACCATCAACTTATGCCATTAAACTGTTTAGACTGAGTGTGACTTCCTGTAGATCCCTTTAGGACACAAGTATATGCCAAACTACCTAGCAGCCCCCCAGGATGCCCCCGCATCCTATGGAAAAAACCCAAAACACACTCACATGTAACGCTAAACTACGGGATATGTAGGTAGCTAGACAAGCAGCAATGATCGCATACAAAGACTCATAAATCTCACCTTTTCCTTTTCTAAATTCATTCTTCAGCGATCTGGAGGTCTTCATCAAAGGTGCTCTGGTTCTCGTAAACAAGATTAGCGCCATGATGCAGTTCGTATCAGTTAACGAAAAATAATAAACAGTTTAGTAACGCGGTTGGTCGGTTACTTCGCTTCGGTGATCTCTCGACAAGCTACGCGATGACTAATGAGGCGAAAAGTCATTAGAAGACAATCAAAACCAGTTGTGAGCAAGAATAAATCTCAAGGCGTTTGCGTTTTAATCCGTGTGCGTTTCCAGCCGGTCTTCAGACATATATGAGCCTCTTCAGTGGAAAATTTTGCTCCATGTCAGAATGCCCTTCCCTCTTTACTGCGAACAGTTAACCGAGCTCACGCTGACGTATATAGTTAAGCTGACGGAAACGCCTGAATCAAAACATCCGGTAGATTTTCAAAGTAAAAGTTGTTTGAATATTTTAGATCAAGGGTATCAAACTCATTTTGGTCCGGGGGCCGTATCCAACCTACTTTGATCCCAAAGGGGCCGCATCAGAAAACTCATGGCATATATACCCCAAAAATAACAATAAATTCAAATATTTGTGCAGAGAAACACAAATCTATTACAGAAATCTTTTTGAATTGATAAACTCTTTCTTTTAACAAAATATTAAAACTTTAAGAAAAATTCAATTTCAACACAATGTTTTAACATGAACTTGTATACAAACAGGAATAAGTCAATTTTTCTTGTAAAATCCTGCACTCGGCGTCCACTTTTCTCATTTTTGACATTTTGCTGATGAGGGTGTCACGGTCAACAGTCAAAACAATCATCCTAAAAGAGGCAAGAGGCAAGTTTGGAAAGAGCCAAGTCTTCATTTGCTCTGGTGGGAGGGGCCACGCACAGAGATGCTAGAGATGCTGCTATACTCAGCACCACAGAAAATTAACAATATTTAAATTGAAAATATAATTAAAATATTTTAGTAGAAAATCAACCAAGGGCCAGATTAAAGGTCTTGGAGGGCCGGATCTGGTATGTTTGACACCTGTGTTTTAGATGAATGATTTTTTATTTTTTTTACCTAAGAAACCAGATTGCCATTACTATTTCAAAGTACATTTTGAAATAACGCACTTACAATAATACAAACAACAACAACAACAACAACAACAATAATAATAATAATAATAATAATAATAATAATAATATGTTTCCCAAATAAATCAATATTTAATGGGTTTATTGACTTTAATGGTTACAACTGATTAAAAATAAATATCATATGATGTTACTATAATTATGAAGCCCGCCCTTCCATGTCCAACCACAGTATGTCCTTCTTTTTATACAATTTGAGATGACCAGTGGTCATCCTATGAATAATGGGTTTCAGTTTCAAATTGTTAATATATGAAAATGCCAGGCTTCAAATTCAAGTCATTAATGCTGCACCTCCTCAGTCCTCATGGGGAAAATATAGAGTTCACAGATCAGATGTTGTGGAGAATAAAGGTATACAATGTAACTTTTCTGGTGAAGGACTCACCTGTGACTGAATATATACAAAATGTTTAATGCTACACTGAGAAACAAGGTAAAGCAATAATATCTCCCTTCAGGCAGATGACAGATCCTTCACCAGAAACATAACATGTAGCCTACCTTTAACATGAGTAGAATTTTGTAGTTATAACTTTTTGTTTAACTGTGCATTTAGCCTAAATATCACACACTGAATATCAACATTCAGTAAAATAAAAGTATACTAGTACATAGGCTGTCTATATTTCCATACCTAATGCTCAAAAGCTCAAACCTTTATTATGAAATTTACAAGGAAGACCACTGTAAGTTTGAGTGGATTTCACGCCCCGCAGCGTTCTGTGTTGGTACTGCGGGTTTGTCTTGCACCTATAGCACAGCATTTTATGTAGAGTAGGTCAGAATCAGGACACGTGCCGTGTAAAAACTAGGTCACGCGATGAAATTGAGCCTCAATGTCCAGTGTTGCATGATTTCACCCACCGGCTGTTATTGTATGCACTGAGTAAATGTATATGATATCAAAATACACGAATAAAAATAAATAATTTATCGAAAGATCCTGCCTGAACTGTCGTCAAAATAGTGTCTTAACAAACCAAACATAGGCGTTATTTGACCTTGTGTCACATTGATATGCATGCCTTAAGGCTAATAATATTCAAATAAAAATATAACTTCATGTAGCCTAATGCATATAGGCCTGGTTTTCTTCAAGTAATGAACAATATTAGTTAAAATGATAATTATCAAATTTCTTGACTTAACATTTTATTTTATTTTTTATTACATATCCCAGCTGGATGACTGAGGGTTTATACAAACATAATGACTAGGCTATTGTTTATATATTTTGTATGTTGTTGGGTTTGGGAAATATCCTATTCAAGAAAAACACAGCATGTAGGCCATGTATGTTTTAACACTAGTTTGTCAACTCCTTGAGCTTTCAGAGTCGTTGATGGAACCATTCAGTAATTCACACTTGCATGCATTGTAAGATCCAAACACTAGGTCAGGGTTTACAATTTAAAGTTAAATTACTAATGTGGTTTCATATAACAATTATAAGATGGTAATGAAACAATGGTAAGCATGATTAACCATGAATGGAACTTCTTTTGACACATGCATGCTAATTGGGGTCATTGTTATACTTTGTTGTTGTGTCTTGCCTCTTTCTAATATGTATAAGGTTTAATTTGCTAATTTTGCTAATTTAACTGTAACATAGGCAAAGTAGCTACAATAATATGTGAAGTCTGAATGGAGGCTCTAAATAACTAAGTTTAATTCATAGCCAGTATTGTTATTCCCTTCGTGTTTAGGCTAATGGGTTATAATAAAAACTTTTTCAATAGGTGGTAAAGTTGATTTGTCACACAGAACAAGTTAATAATTTAATAGAACATTTTTTCTTTTTTAAATAAAATGTTAATAGATTTATTGTTAATCATTTTATTCATACTTATAAAACAGCTGATCCGTGTGCGAAACACCCACTAAAAAGATTAATTAAGTGGTCTACAAAATAATAAAATAATTCACAACCTTAATCTACACTTGGATTGTGTCATAAAACTGTAACTATGATCAGGACTATACAGGACAAGAGGGCGTGCACAGTGCTCACGTTAAGCTTTAAACATTAAATTAAGGAATACTTGGAGGAAAATTGCATAAAAATAGAAGAAAAACGCAGTGGGTCTGCTACTTCCTGCGGTGTTTTTTTGAAAGCACCGGTTGGCTCCTCGCGCTGCTGCGGACCAATCGGAAGTGAGTATTTTTCGCGCTGATCCGACGCGCTGTTTGAGTTTCCTCCGAGCTTTTACACTCTCCCTGAATGAAACCCTTCGCTTTGCGGGATGAATGCCTTAATTTTATTCGTATAACAACCGCGGGGAGACTGAGCAGGTAATGACAACTGTAATATCTTTCACGTAAAGGTGAAAATTGGTTGATGTTGTCGGTGAGATTGCTGTGTCGTACCGATCATCCATTTTAGCCCGGAGAGGAGCTAACAGATGCTAACGCGAAATGTGCAGTTTGGCTTGGTTTCAATGGAACGCAGCTTAGCATTCGGTTAGCACGTTTAGCATTCCAGAAAGAAGATGTCATGGCGCCTACGAATTTATTATATTGAAAACTGTAGCAATACAGCTAAATGACATTGGCTCTTTCGGTTTGTCAGCGCATTTCTTTGTGTATTTGTTTGGTAGCATTCTTATTTGTTGTTCTCAGCTGCTGGTCGCGTTCTTGATCTGTTTCGTGGTTTGTGTGTAGCTAATGGCTGACTGGGGTATGTCAGTGATGCTGTAGTTACTGGAAGGAGACTGCCTGTAGATCCATGACTCAAGTACTGGAGATTCTTTGCATTGGGGAATGTGTTTGTCCCCGTTTACTATGACTCCTTGAGGTCTCATTCCTTGTTTTAAACTAACTAACTAACTGGGGTGATGTTGTTGCGTCCAAATGTAGTTAATATAGACTTGTAACTTGAGGAGAGACTATTTTAACACATTATACAGAAATGCGCATACTGTCAATGCAATTATTGACTATATAGCTGTTGGGAAGTACCCAGGCCTATTTGAAACCCTGTTTGTGGTGGTAATGAACATATATGTATGCTTTACAACTGAAACATTTACCTATTTGTCTTTTTGTGAATAATTGATAAATATAGCATATGACGCTACATCATTCAAAACAGCATAAGACGAGCCACGTTTATTTTATCATTATGTAGAACCTGGTTGTGCAAAATAAAGAGTGTAATTTCCGCGGTGAAGTGGCTGTGCAGCTGCGGCACTGTGGCGGCTGAGCTCGGCCACACTCTGGGCTCTGGCCGCATGCGGTGCTCCTGCCTCCTGCTCCCCCCGGCTCACGCTCTTACAGCGGCTAACAGCTAGCTCCTGTGTCCGGGAGGAACCACAGTGGGACAAGCCGCGGTAAGACCTGCGTCTGTGCTTGGTGGACAACACATATTATGCAGCGTATGTACTACTTTATGATCTGTTCACAGAAGACAAGTCTAATGCTTTTGGTACAGCTATTTTTTCTGAGTTTGAAGTAATCCTGGATCTCGTCTTTGAAATAACTATGGAGCTAGCACATTCAGTAACAGGTGCAGTTTTCCCTTTCGCCTCCACTCAGTGCTGTTTATGCTCTGCAGAGCTGCAGAGGGCCATTTTGTGTTTGGGAAAACATGCTAAAATACTTCTGATACAATTCCGATTGGTTCATGTGTTTATCTAGAGTAATTTAGATGTGTTTCATGTATGCATTTTGGATAACCATAAACACAGTAAAATGTGAAATTTGTCTTAAAATTCTGCTTTCACTGGTAAATAACCCTGCATGTCTTATCATGCCATTCATGTGGTGGTGTGGTTTGATAAAGATTTAAACGACAAGAAGATTTCCTAGTCCTGAGTTAAAACCTTTTAAGTAAATGGTGCATCACAAGATGATGCATTTCAGGTAAGTCTGCAGTGCACTTTGGGGTAGTGTAAAGTAACCTGGCCAGCAAGATGAAACTTGTGCTTAACAATATCAATCTGGCACAGCCAGGTTAAGTCTAAGGTAAAGTTAAAATACAGATTTATTGTGTGTAATAATGTCCATTGTTTGTTGTCGCCCTAAAAACATGTTTTTGCTCACAACATTAAAGTTTGTATTAATGTTTGTGTTGTCTTTAGCTCAGTGTGTGGAGGGACTTTAGTGGGATGGACAGCATAGGGAGCTCCTTGCCTTCGATGCCCAAACCTGCAAACCCAATCAGTATGAAGCAGCTGCCTGAGGCCCTGAGTGTCCACAAGGGCTGTGTGGACATGACCTCTGATCCTGCTCTGCTAATGGACAAGGCTGCTGCGCAGTTAGCCGCTACGCTACAAGACAACATGCTCCAGAAGATGTCCAGCCAACACCACGAGCACCTCAAGGACCTGACCTCTCTGGTGCTGAACGGAGACCACCAGGACGCACTGCCAAAACTCTGTACCCCTGAAGTCCCCATCTTCAAACCAGCCGACGCCCCAACAACTAACGGCATCCATCAGCACAACTGTCCCGCTCACTCTGAGCCCGAGTTAAAAGTTTCTGTGCCACAAGTGGTGCCCCAGCCGCAAGTGGAGCCATGCACCACCAACGGGATGAGTCTGGTTACCTCCACAGACGGCGCTATAACAGAAACTGATCAACGGGAGGAGGGAAAAAAGAGGAGAGGAAGGCCGCTCAAGCTAAAACTAGAGCTGAACCACAGTCCTTCTTCTGTCCCTCCAGAGATAAATGGACACTCGGAGTCTCCTGAGGAAACTGCAGAAACAAATGAGGTTAATATAACGTGTTATTCAAATTACCTTTATTGGAATAAAAAGCAGTCTGTTTAGGTTACAGAATGTCTTGGGATAATAAAAGCAATTATTTTGGCTATTGGAACAACAGTTTGTTGACTAAACTGCTGCGTTAACAACTCTTTGACCATAAGAGGTACTTTGTTTAGTCTAATCAATATAGATAAATTTGTTGAAAAAACATGAACAAATATTAATATTTTTTGTGTTGATGCACATGTCGTCGGGCTACTGTTTGTTAAATTTTTGATTAGGAGTAATTTTATTTTACACATTTACTTTACTGTTTCCTTTCTACAGTTCAATCAACCATTAGAGCCATCAGCCCATCATACAGTGGAAGCTCCTCCCACAGAGCGTTTCTGTCCCGGAGATCTGGTTTGGACCAAGGTTTCAGGGTACCCCTGGTGGCCCTGCATTGTGACCACAGACCCAGAGCATAACAGCCACCTCAGACAAAAAGTAAAAGGTGGGACAGCATTTATAAGCTAAAGACCAAATTACAAGTTTCTTTATAATTACCTCTATTGTTTTTTTACAGTAAATAACCCCAAGCCAGGCCTTCTGTACCATGTGCAGTACTTTGGGGATGCCCCTGAGCGAGGCTACATCTTTGAGAAGAACCTGGTGCCCTTCATTGGAGAAGAGCAGTACCAGGAGCTCAGCACAGGAAATCGACCGCTAGCCTCCCGCCCCACTCACAAGAAGGTAAACCATTTATAAAGGGCATAAAAGACTCACAGTTATGATTAAATATTTATAGACAACAAATGGAAGACTATATATAGTAACTAAATATAATAATATAAATATTTTACTATATGATAATTGCAGCATTTAGTATGCAACTTGTTTATGCAACTGCTGCCATATATATATTTTAAATGTAATATTTTTTTGATAGGTTGCGTCGGTTCCTCGTAAGTTCCAGGCTCAGTGGAGGGTGGGCATCTCTCAGGCCAAAGAGTCTCTGAGCCTGACCCTAGATCAGCGACTCACAAATTTCTCCTTCATCTACGATGAAGACGGACCACAGCTCAACCCTCATGTTTTGGAGAAGTTGGATTTGGAGCTCAATAAACAACTGGACCAAGAAACGCAATCAAGACTTAGTCCAGTTCTGGATCCAACTTCAGGAGGAGATGCAGGCACAACATCAGAGGGCACTGCAAAGGGGAAAAAGACCAAAGTCAAAACGGTCCAGTGGAAGCTCAAAGACAAACTCAACAACATCAAGAAAAGTAAAAACAAAATATTGAAAAATATTTCTTCTGAACAAATTCCAGAATCAGATACACAGGTTTGTTATGTTTTGTAATTACTTTTATTGCAATTATATCATCATGTGCAAAGGGGGGAGAGACTAAGTTTGGACATATTCATAGTTGTTAATCTGAGAAATGCATGTACGTGATGTTTGTGTAAAAGATGGTGGATATAGAATTGCATAGGCTTAGTTTAGGCATTTGTGGCTTAATTATATAATGTCCATCTTTCACAGGATACTACCCCATCTACAACAAATCTGTCAACACAAACATCAGAACCAGCCAACAAAAAGATCCCCAAAATGTGTCAATCCAAGACGTTGAAAGGAAAGAAAAAGATGTCTATTGACAGTTTTTCTGAGCCCAAGAAAAAAATCAAAACAAAGAAAGTTCCCTCAACAGATCATGCTTCAGACCCAGCTACGGCAACAGTTTCACTTCCAGGTTTGTGCGAAGTATAAGTTTGAGTAGTGGGTTAATGGTGGTCAAGTGTGGATTCAAGCAGTAACATTGCATCTCTATTTTTTCAAGAAATATGATTAATTGTTTGTTTAATGCACTAGACACTTTTTTTTTGTTACAAAAGTGGTAATGTTATTTTGTTCTGTAGGTAAAAAAGTGAAGAAATTTGGCAAGAAAAAGGCTGAAGACCAGAAGACAGATTCTCAAAGTAGGTCAACATTAAAGCTTTTATTAAATTTTTAAATCTTAAATACAAAAAGTTTATAACCAATTTTAACTTTCAGTTAAAAAGGAGAGGAAGAAGTATGTAAAAAGGTCTATATCTGATGTTACAACAGATAAAGACCAAAAAACAAAGAAGCGTAAAATAAGCAAAGATGGAGATGATCAGGTGACTACTTTACTTCAAATAATTTAATGTATATTACAATATAAAAAAAAAAAAAAAAAAGTTATTATTATTGACAAATATGTCTCCTGTTTCATCTAGTTCCAGATTTCAGAAAAGCAGCAAAAACAAAAGAAGAAATTGGTCAAAGGTCAGAAGGAAACCAAGAAGAAATTAAAGAAGTCCATTGGTCTTGCAGGTAAATGTGGGTTATTTCTCATCTAAGCAAAGTTTTTGTCATAAAATTTTTTTTATTTTATTTTTTATGTTTTTTAACAGATGATGTTGAAGCAGAGAAACCAAAGTATAAGAGGAAAAGGAAACTGGTTGGAGAGAGTGAAGAGTCCACTCCGACTAAACCCAAAAAACAACGACCGTCCATTTGTCCTGAGACCGAGGTTAGACTTCAGATTAGTGATGCCTGTTTTCCTGGTACTGCATTATAAACCCCAGTTTGTTGACCTAGTACCACTATGCTGTTTATTGGGTAATGTAAAAAACTACATAATTTCATTCAGTAATCCTAAAATTGTTTTTATCTGCCCCAGGGCTCTGGAAGTGAAGGACGTCCTGATTCTCCGAGTGACAGTTTGGACGGGATCAAGAAAGGAGAGCGGAAAAAGGAGTTTGTCTGCCATGTAAGACTTATTTTTATTTGATTTAAAATACTGTTGAATAATATGAATATATTACTTTGACAGGCCTAATATTTCATAAAATTTGGCTGCTTAATTATTACTGTATTTTTAGAAGGTTATATTTTGATTAAAATGAGAAGGAGTCAGTAATGACAAACCAGGTCTGCAGGTGTAGTTGATATGATTGATATAATTAAAAGCTCTGTTTCACTTTGCATGCTTTAATGAGACAAATATGACATGAATATACTTAATGATATGATGTTGCCTAATCATCTATTGTATGCTGTCACAGATGTGTGAGGGGGCAGGGGAGGATCTGGTGCCCTGTGAGGGGCAGTGCTGCGGGATGTTCCACCTCCAGTGTTTGGGACTGTCCCTTAAACCAGAGGACAAGTTGCTGTGTCCCGAGTGCAGCTCAGGTCAGGATCTGTTTGGTTTAATGTGGTGTGACTTAAGGATTTTGATTTTGCACAACGCCAATTTCTAAGAGCACAGATTAAATTGATTTAAGAAGTTTTTATACCTAAGAATGAGCATGTAATCTTAGCTTTTGCACAATACAGCAAAAAGCATTTCTAAATCTTGGGCTCTGTTGACACTGGTCCTAGTCTGATCCTTGTACAGTTCTGATGTAGACTTTTGCTCTAGTCCAGTTCAGTTTTAATTATGTCCTTGTTAAGACCAAACTTTTATGGTGTGTGTAAGTGTGAACATAGGCTCTGTTTATGGCAGACTCCCCTTCTTTCTTAAACCCCCGTATCTCCTCTATGTCTGTAGGGGTCCACTCATGTTTCAGCTGTAAAAATTCGGATGGTGAGGTACGACGCTGTCATGTCCCTCACTGCGGTAAATTTTACCATGAGGCCTGTGTCCGCCTCAGCCCGCTCACTGTGTTCGACAACAAGGGCTTTCGCTGCCCCATGCACACCTGCATCAGCTGCTACTACAGCGGCCAGTCCAAGCACCGCGCCAACAAAGGTAAGACTGCTCAAACCTATGCAGTTTATTTTACGTAAATTTATGTTTTTCAGACATATCGAATTTACTTTTCTTCACAGGTCGGTTGATGCGCTGTCTTCGCTGTCCTGTGGCCTATCATGTTGGGGACTTCTGTGTAGCTGCAGGAAGTGAGACCATCACAAACTCTGCCTTGATTTGCACAAACCACTACCACGCCAAGAAGAACCACAGCCATCACAGCCACGTCAACGTCAGCTGGTGCTTCGTCTGCTCTAAAGGTCGGTCTATATACATACATTGGTACATTAGACAGTTTGAATCCAATTATTTCTTTAAAGTTGTGTAATAAATACAAAAGTCGCCTATGTTGATATTGTGGTTTTGTTTAGAAAATAGTGTTTTCTGATTGAATGTCCATCTTGCTATGGTTTGCTAAATTCTGTTTTTTAATCTATCCTTTTTGTGTCTTTAATATGAGGCAGCTAACTGCATCCCAGTTTAAGTTTTGATAGCATTTTTAGACTTCCTTAAACTCGGACAAACTTTATTGATCCACAAGGGAAATTATTTATACACAGTAGCTCGTACATCACAATATATTATAATAACAAAGGGCAAACATGTAAATGATAATAATAAACTCAATGTAGCAAAAATAACAAGAGACTGGTGTCACATAAGGCTATAAATATAGCATACAATTTTATTGTAGGATTACATGCTAATTAAATATATATACATGTTAGTGAATCTGTTAAATCTCTATTTTAAATCACTGTTATGTTGACAGGTGGACAGTTGCTGTGTTGTGAGTCGTGTCCCGCTGCTTTTCACCCTGACTGTTTGAACATTGCGATGCCAGAGGGGAGCTGGTTCTGCAATGACTGTCGAGCTGGAAAAAAACCCAAATACAGAGACATTGTGTGGGTCAAACTGGGGACGTACAGGTAAGGCATCTTTATTATGCATTACCTTGTTACTCTTTCTACTACAGTCCCTGACAAAAGTCTTGTCGCTTATCCATTTTGTAGAAACAAAAGCTTATAACCTGACTTAAAATTAATCGATTGGTTTTAGAAATGTCTCATATGAAAGCTAAAACTCTCCCAAATTATGCTCAATATACTAAAATTAATTTGCTTCACTGAAGAAAGATTGATCATTTAATGAACACAGAAAGGTCAGATTTTGGCAAGACAAAAGTTTTGTCGCCTACAGAAAATTGAACAAATAATTTACTTCAAATACAAAAATATGTTGCATAACGTCAGTGAATTAAGTAGTGGTGCTGTGAGATCCATATTTAATATCTTGTATGACTTCCATGAGCTTGAAGGACTGCATCCATGCGGTTCGACAATGATTCATACAATTTGTTGATGAAGTCATCAGGAATAGCAAAGAAAGCGTCTTACATGCCTCCCAGAGTTCATCAAGATTCTCTGGTTTTGCCTTCCATGCTTCCTCTTTCATTCTACCCCAGACATGCTCAATGATGTTCATGTCTGGTGACTGGGCTGGCCAGTCCTGGAGCACCTTGATCTTCTTCGCCTTGAGAAACTTTGATGTAGAGATAGAAGTATGCGATGTAGCACCATCCTGCTGCAAAATTTGACCCCTTTTATGGTTGGGAATGTAAGAGGTAACTAATACTTCTTGATATTTTAGGCTATTGATATTGCCTTCCACCCTGCAAATGTCTCGCACACCCTCATACTGGATGGAACCCCAGACCAGGATTTTTCCGCCACCAAACTTAACTGTTTTCTGGGTGAATCTTGGATCCATGCAGGCTCCAGTAGGTCTCCTGCAATATTTGCGGCGGCTGTGATGTAATTCAACCGAGGATTCATCTGAGAAATCCACCTTCTGCCACTTTTCCAGTGTCCATCCTTTTAGCAGGCTGTGGGCCTTGGCAAATGCCACACGGTTTTTTAATTGCCTTTTGTTTAGTGCTGGTTTCTGTGCACTGATTCGACCATGGATGCCATTTCCAGACAGAATTCTACAAACTGTTGTGGTTGACACGGACTTGAGGTGACCAGGCCTGGTGGAGCTCTGCTGCAGTGGAAAAGGGGCTGGCCTTGGATTTTCAAATCAACAAACGGTCCTCTCGAGCAGTTGTCTTGCGGGGTCTGCCGGACCTGGGCTTGTCAAAAGCATCTCCAGTCATTTCAGATCTTTTTCTTATTCTTTGTACTTGACACTGAGACACATTGAAGGTGTCAGCCACCTCAGCAGTGGATCTGGTCTTCAGCCTCTTGATAATTAACGCTTTGGTCTCAGGGTGGATCTTAGGCATGTTGTCAGAGGTCAAGTTGCAGTTGATGTGAAGGTCTGCTGTGCTGGGGTTCTTTTTATACACACCCACTAATTGATTGATCAGTAACTGATCACAGATGAGGCTGTAATCTAGGATTGGGTGCATCATATGACAAGGCGACAAGACTTTTGTCTTGCCAAAATCTGACCTTTCTGTGTTCATTAAAAGATCAATCTTTCTTCAGTGAAGCAAATTTATTTTAGTATATTGAGCATAATTTGGGAGGGTTTTAGCTTTCATATGAGACATTTCTAAAACCAATCGATTAATTTAAAGTAGAGCCTGACCGATATATCGGTTGGCCGATATTATCGGCTGATATGGGCAACTTCAGGCATATCGGCTATCGGCCGATATGCTTGCTGATAGGGGCCGATATTTCACGTGGGCATGTTATACCTCGTTATAAATCTTAGACTCTCTACATTCTGTGCATTTAATCAAATTTACAGACAGATAAATGTCCTAATATGTGGCTCCACATCAATATTTATCTACGGATTCATTTGTCTGTGTGTGTCCGTATTGTCCCTGAACACACCACGGAGTCGCATCACTCACGTGTGTTTGTTTACACCTGCAGACACAGATCCAAACACTTAGATTATATTCTTTTTACGGACAATCGGTTTGAGTCTGGATTAAAAGGACATTTATTAGTGCAGATTTGTGATGTGAGGAGGAGCCTGTATGAGCGGTGAGTGTTGGAAATATGTCGACTCTGAAGCTAGTTTTTGTCATTTGTTATGGGTTAGCTGCTGTAGCTCATGCACATAAACAGACTGTTTTCTATTGGTCTGTTCTAAAGTGACTATATTGGCCGTATATTTGCTACTGGACCTGCACTGATATGTAAATGAGCTGTGAATAGAGGTGTGAATTATGACATTTGCGCATATAATTAATTACCGCGGCGCACACGTATTTACGGCTAAAGGCTAATAGCGCTACTTTCTTTACTAGTTATGGGTCCGTCGCGAACGAAATGACTCTTAGAGCCGGCTCTTTGAAGGGAACGACAGGAGCCTGATCCTTATTGGGAGCCGTGTTTTCTCTTTCTCTCACTTTTTTTCTCTTCACGCCGCGTGCAGATTCATGGTTTGACAGCGGCTGCGGCTAAAAACGAAACTTTGAGAAATTTGCGTGTACGTAGGATTTAAAAAAAAAAAAAAAAAAAAAAAAAAACTAGCATATTTGACTGTAGTTTAGCATAAAATAAATAAGTCCCGGTTTAGTCCTTTTTCAGTCCTGGTTTAGACCTGGTTCAGTCCTGATTCAGTCCTGCTTTAGACGTGCTTTAGTCCTGCTTGCAACAAAACAATCTGAAGAGCCACTTGGGAGCCAAAAGAACCAGCAGCTTTTAGTGAGCCGAGCCAAAAGAGCCGGTTCTCTAAAAAGAACTGGAATACCCATCACTAGTGTCTAGAATGTGATGCAAAAATGCCATTAAGCCAACCTACTGTCTGTAAATATGATGTAAAGAGGCAGAATAACAATAAATGTTGCCTAAATAAACCCAATTTAAAATCCACCAGAGCCAAACCTAAGTTTTTTAAACAATTCAACATTTACAGTGAATTTTTACATCACTAAATATATCGGCTATCGGCAGCTTCAACACCCATTATATCGGTTTCATATCGGCCACAGCAAAATCCATATCGGTCGGGCTCTAATTTAAAGTTAGGTTATAAGCTTTTGTTTCTACAAAATGGATAAGCGACAAGACTTTTGTCAGGGACTGTATATTACTTTTAATCACGTTGTCCTTGTAGATGGTGGCCAGCTGAGATCAACCACCCCAGAAACGTCCCGACAAACATCCAGCACCTTCGTCATGAGATGGGAGAGTTTCCCGTTTATTTCTTTGGTTCTAAGGATTACTATTGGACACACCAGGGCCGAGTGTTTCCCTATGTGGAGGGAGACCGAGGCAGCAAACACCAGAGGAGCTCCATCGGGAAGGTCTTCAAGAATGGTGAGCAACCTAGTTTTTTACCTTGTCTTGGAAGCATTTGTAATTTGTCACACATTTAAAAAACTCAGATAATGTTGCAAAGAAAGATCCATATCAAATTGTATGTACATAAAAGGTGCACCATGTATTTTTGGAGGGTCCACCACCTGCTCCACGGCGATATTGTTTTGCCAAAAATATACCTCTGTATGGCATTGTGTCACTATCTACATGAAGACAAGAAGGTGATGCCACATGTTTATTGCTCAAAAATCTACAAAAAACCTAAAGACAGTTGCAATTGAGTAAAAAACAACATACATCGGTTTAATGACATATTTATTATACTGTAATGTGTGAGGTATTCTGAGGATTAATAGTTTGTCCAATGCCAGGCAAAGCAGTAAGATCTCTATGGATACACATAGGTTGCACACTATCGAAACGTTACATAGTGCACATTCACTTTTCAGATAGGTTACAATATAGATACAATTTTTACTGTATTTTCTTCATATTTAGCTTTGTTGGAAGCCGAAGATCGATTTACAGAAATTAAGATGAAACGCGAGGCAAAGGAGGCACAAGAAAACAGCCGAAAACCGCCACCATATAAATTCATCAAGGTTAGACACTCACTCACTCTTGTTATTTCTTTATTCCTATTGTTTATATCTTTGAGTGTCCAAAAAACCGGCATACAAGTATGTATTATTATGATTTATTATTTTATAATTATTTTTCCAACAGAATTTCTATTGTTAATTACTAAATTGTACTGTCCAAACTGCCTTCCTCAGGTGAACAGACCAGTGGGGCGGGTGCAGGTCTGCACAGCAGATATCTCTGAGATCCCAAAGTGTAACTGTAAACCATCAGACGAGCGTCCGTGCAGTTTTGAGTCGGAGTGCTTGAACCGCATGCTGCTGTACGAATGCCACCCACAGGTGTGTCCCAGTGGAGACCGCTGCTGTAACCAGGACTTCACCAAGCGCCTGTACCCCGACACCAAGATCATCAAGACCCCCGGCAAAGGCTGGGGGCTCATCTCACTGCGGGATATCAAGAAGGTCTGTTTTACGGTTATCTTCATTTGACTTCACAATTTACACTCAGGCTAAATCATATTGTGTAATTATGGGATGTTTTATTTCCCACTATTATAACATTAAGATTGTGTATATATTTCACATAATATATTTTTCTTTTTTTTTTCTCCTATAAATAAAATTTTGGGTTCACTTCACCAAGCAAAGAGAATTCATATCCAACTTTAGACTGCTATGGGATTTTTAGTGGACATGCAGATTGTAACTGTCTTGTTCAGAAATCAAACTGTTGAGTATTCCTCTACTTTTTAAAGGTACTACTTACAAATAATATTTTCCCCCTCAGGGTGAATTTGTGAATGAGTACATCGGAGAGTTGATCGATGAGGAGGAGTGTCGCTCAAGAATTAAATATGCTCAAGAAAACAACATCACCAACTTCTACATGCTCACCATCGACAAGGTCTGTGACTGACACCAAATACCAGGATCAGTCTGTTTTTAAACATATTCTTGGCATTTATTTTGTGCTCTTGTGTGGATTAATAACATGCTGTTTTTTTGCAGCAGCACTGTTTCCACCGAGCGCTAAATAAAAGTATTGCATTGGGAATGTCGCACATGAGAATCTGTGACATTACAGTTGTCAATACAACAAAAATCAGCTATACAGAAATATCACAGCGTTTAAAAACTGATTTAACATTTTGATGTGCAAATTGTGTTCATGACTCTAATCTTTCACTGGGACAAGACTACAGTAATTTCTACTGACTAATGCTGAGTTCTGCCCATTTCCTCCAGGATCGTATCATCGACGCAGGGCCAAAGGGAAACTACTCTCGCTTCATGAACCACAGCTGTCAGCCCAACTGTGAGACGCAGAAGTGGACCGTGAACGGGGACACCAGGGTCGGGCTGTTTGCTGTGCGGGACATACCAGCAGGTTTGTGTATTTCAAGATTGCAAAGATTGTCTACCTTTTTAAAAAGAAATAATATATATAGTAATAAAATATTTTAATAATACTGTGTTTTTGAAGATTATTTTTGTTATTTTTGTTTTAGGGACTGAACTCACTTTCAACTACAACCTGGACTGCCTCGGGAACGACAAAATGGTGTGTCGCTGTGGAGCCCCCAACTGCAGCGGTTTCCTAGGAGACAGACCCAAGGTAGAGCCGCAGAGTTGGGTTCATAGACTACAGTGTTTCCCATAGATTTTATTAAGACTATGGTGGCTCAAATCATTTTTATTTGAAGAATTTCATCTCATTCAATTTGTGAAGTATTAATGTCATTTTCCTCTTACATTTAATCTTTAAGCTGTCATTTCTGACCAGTGTTGTTTCTTTAGTTAATGATAATACAATGAGCAACAAAGTCTGATTATGTTATGCTAAGTAATTGTCAAGTTTATTTTAGACTGTGGCAGGTCACCATAGTCTCCTGCATTCATGGGAAACATACTATTATTTAGAAGTGATTTTCATGTCTACCTTGTATATTTCTTGGAGTTGGAGTTTTTATTCTGTCACTTTATAAAGATTTTTACTAATGTTAGACCACAAACTAAAGTGAGTGTAGTGGACTTTCCATTACTTGAAATGTTGTTTATCTAATCGCATAACATTTTGAATTAATGTTTTATTTAATTATTTGACAGAACTCCAATGGGCAGCCTGCAGAGCCTAAAGTGAAGCGCGTCAAGAGGAAGTATAAAAAGAGGAAAACCGACGGGAAAAAGTCTGAGGACGAGTGTTTCCGGTGCGGCGATGGAGGACAGCTGGTGCTCTGCAATAAGAAGCACTGCACGAAAGCTTATCACCTGAGCTGCCTCAACCTCACCAAGAGGCCTTTCGGTAGGACTTACGCAATCTAATGTTTTGTTTTTCTTCATTCTCAAGTATACCCAGACATTTTTGTAAAATAACTGAAATAATGTTCTGTGTTTAGGCCCTAGTTACAACAATTTTTGCTCAGTAAAATATTTTATGTTTTTTTGTTTATTTCTGCAAATAGGCATGTTTTTACTGTTAACTAATAGGACAATTTCTTAACAAAATGGTGAAGTAATACTTCACATAGTGTTTAAACAACAAACTGCTACAGCTCAAACAATTTTATCTTCAGTATACATATGTTTGAGCCTTTCCACAAAGTGTGCCTCATTTTAGCCATTAATTGAAGGAGCCATACCAGATTGATCTTACAATGTTAAAGTAGTTCACTCTGTAATATGCTTCCTATTCTTAGCTAATATCACTGTAGCTATTATTGCTGTAATAAGTGCTGTAAGTCTTCTGTCTCCTCCTCAGGGCGCTGGGACTGTCCGTGGCACCACTGTGATGTTTGTGGTAAAAACTCGGGGTCTTTCTGTCAACTCTGTCCAAACTCGTTCTGTAAAGCACACGAGGAGGGCGCCCTGAAACTCTGCTCCCCGACGGGACTGCTCTGCTGCATGGACCACGAGGAGTCCGAGATCCGCCAGAGACTCGAAACCATCGTCGCCACTAAAGAGACCAAGCGCAAAAACAAAATCTGCAGCAAAAAACCTCCCCAAAAAGTCCCCCGGAAATATAACAAGAAGAAAAAGGCAGCTGAGGCGTGACACCACCACAGACCACTTCATTGACAAATCATACGGTAACACTTTATCATAGCTACACTTTAATAAAGCATGAACAAATTGTTGATGAAGAATGATTCAGGTTTAAGTTTTTGCATTTACCGTAAGTAGTTACTACCTTCTAACCTGACCTCTTAATTAAAGGTGCACTGTGTAACTTTTCTGGCGGAGGGTTCTTCAAATACTTTTCTCCATGGAGATGTTATAGCTTTGTCTGCAATGTTTCACAGTATGGCATTAAACCTTTCTATGATCGTGGAGATCAAACCAGGCCAACTTACTGGTCAAATCTGTGGAGGGGCAACCCAGCTCAGCCTGTTTTTGAGCAGTTTAAACCAACCTGTAATTGAATACATCAAAGGTAGATCTGTTTTATTGTCATACTGTGGAACATTTTAAGCAGAGCAATGACATATCCATAGAAACCCCCCAACCGAAATGTTACATGTAGCACCTTTAAGTAGTTACTAAGCCCTTTTTAATAAACTATTTGTTCATTATGAATTAAGTCTTCATTCTTGCTTTTTTGAGGCTAATTAAAGTGTAGTTATTAATATAGTGGTTCCAATTATACCATCTCCATGGCGACAAGTTACTGAACTGTGCCAATTTTGAAACCAAGTTACCCAAGTTTCATGGATAATATATCAGGTTTAGTTTCTGCACTGAGTAACATCTGTGGTAAAGCACCACAAGCCTTAAGTGACACTGCAATTTTTCTACCGTTGGACTTTGTTTTGGAAGTAAATTTGAACATTCTGAAGTAGCAACTGTCTATTGGATCATTTTAAAACGTGAAGATTACAACTGCGTGCTTCCAATCTTATAGCAGTATTTGACCTAAAAAAAAAAAAAAAAAAAAAGTCTTAACACTTTATATTAAGAGGCAAAATGTTGGATTTCAAATTAGCATTCATTGGTGCTGTTCATTTCAGATTTCCAATGCAGGTCCACTGGTGTCCACTAGACGGTGCTATTTCTCTACCACCAAACCAACTGCTTCACCGCTGACTTGAATAATTTTATCTTTTATTTTTATCAAGAAACAAAGACCAAATGCTGATAATAGACCAGGCCTTTTATTTTTTATATGTATAGTAAAGTTATATTGGACTGAACGACTATGGAGACAGACACTATGAGGCCAATGTAGACTTTTACAATTTTATTTTAGTTAACATTATTTTAGAGTTATTTTTATGTCTTGATGCTGAAAATGGCAACTTGAACTACCTTAAGTATTGGAACTAATATGTGAGGTCTGCATACACTACTGGGAGATTGAAACAGCTTCCTCCCTCTATAACAAATGAAGGAGTTTCTATATAGTTTTATTTTATTTTTTATTTTTTTCAAAAGGTACAGTATGTAACTATTCACAAAATGCCTGTTTTAAATCAGAGTGTCAGTTTTATTGCTACAGTTTTTGGTGCTTCTATAATGGCTGATTCTGTTAAAATAAGTGGTGTTCAAAAACAACATCGAACTTGTTACTGTTTTTGTATTGAATCACAAAAAGCCCCTGGTCATTTTGTGACATTTTCCTTTCACATTTGAGAATTTCAGGAAAGTCCAGTACTAGATTGCTAATGTGTTCCCTATAGTTGGTAAAGCAGCAGTTTAAGGAGCAAAATGAGCCATAACTGTTGAAATATCCTAACATCTGCTAGTTCAAAAACGACATCTTTATTTTGCAACTAATTGACTAAAACTTTCAGTAAGAAAAAAATTTAGCTTTTTGTCTTTGGAAATTGGAAACAATTTCTAAATCTAAAATTGGTGTTGATTTTGAGATAACTTTTTATTGGCATGTGGCTCCTTGCTGAACAAAAAAATCCCATATTAGCCCTGGCTCCTTTTTTTAAAAACATTGAATATTTACTGTAGGGAATTATGTACCACTGATCAAGCTTCAAGATTGCAAACATCAAAGTGTTTTTCAATTCTTCTCATTATGTCTTTGTATTAATTTCTTTGATGCAAACCATTTTTGAGGCAGTTTTCTCTTGCCTTTTTAACTATATAGAAAAGATTGATATGATACAAACCGGTCTTCATTGCATTAGTCTTATTTACAGTCAAAAGTTCCAAATTTTTTCTGTACATATTTGAACAGAAGTGGTTATTTGCATAGTTTTTGTAACAATCTAACCCCTTTGAGTGAATGTAGTGAGTTTTCCTAAGCACTATTTTTGCCTGTAGAAAAGTGTCATGTAACTACTGTCATAGTGAAACCCAGACTAATGTGTACATAATGTAAAAGTGCCAATAGTTGAGTCTTTATTGTAAATATCCAACAGTTCTTGTTTTTGTTTTTTGGCGCAGTGCTCAAACACTTTGTGCAGGATGTCATTCTGATGAATCATGCAATAAAAAGTGGCCAAACATTGATCGCTTGTTCCTTTTGTGAGAGCAGACTTATAATAATAAAGTTATGTCATAAGATAGAGAGAGAGAGAGTGAGAGAGAGATACCTTATTGATCCTGAGGGAAATTCAAGTTTTGCTGCAAAGCCTGCAGCATCTCAAATGTCCATAGCTCCTCAGCTAGCTTCTTGCACATGGATATAAGGAAAACAAACCATTCATTTTACAAAATCCAGCAATTCCCTATTTGTGTCCTTCGAACTGCAAGTGCTGCATTTCGTGGTTAAAATCCCATGATATGATGTAAAAAATTGTTCAAAAAAGTTCAAAAATTACGTGTGTGAGCCAGGTGTTCACAAAGCAGTCAATCACTCTAGTGTTTGTTTAAAATGTATGTTACGGTTTAATTCAGATATTTGTAACCTTGCTCAAATGGCAAAAACATGAGTCCAGATTGCTTTTGGTGTATGAACAGTGGTGTCCATTGTCCCAATTTTAAAGTCAAAAGCTGCTTATCACCTTATTCCATTATCCATACCCATATCTAAGATATTCCTTATCATTTGAAAATTGTCTTTTTTTACACAAGTTCCTGAACGCAGGGTTTTTTCAGGCTGGGACATCCATAATAACCTTGCAAACAGCCAGGACTCCTATACCAAAATGAAATTAATGGCAGTTATTATTTTGTAAAACATTTAAAATAAGGTGTAATTGTGTTTGAGTTGTTTATAATGGTATTTCACGTTTTGTTTTTTATATCTTCTCCTGAAGATATAAGCTTTAATATTGTACGTGGTCTTTTAAGGTATACATTTCCAATCAACAAGAGTCTGACAATATCAACAGCCAAAAAATTATAAATGGGCTCCTTTTTTGTGTTTGAAGTTACTCACCCAATACATTAGAGGGCGCTGTTAGCTGGTTAGTGTAGTCGATTCTCCTTGTGTTTCCGGTGTAATTCAACCTTCCTTGGTGCCAAACATGAGTAAGTGAAGCCAAGGACTGCATTTAACTCATTTATCTGATTAATTAGTCATGTCTGTTATCTTAAAGTATGTCTGCGTTTATTGTGAAGTGTAGACATGCTTAGAATCCGGAGGAGGAAGTGACCCGGAGCCGTCAATTCTCAATTACAAGGTATGACTTCTTAAAATCGTACAGCCAGTTAGGAATACATTTAGATTACGGACAGATAAGTAAATTAAGTTAAGTTAAGATAAGACAAGTAAATTGCAAGTCTTTTTGAGATATAGACAGATAGCCAGAGATCCATGTTACTGACAGGCATACAGAAACGATTTTGCCATACTCATCACTAAATACTTTTTTTTTTTTCTCTCGTCCAGTAACATATTCACATCTCTTCAGAAATGTCACTCGTCCAGATGTCCCGCTTTTCCATAACCCGGCTAGTCCTTTGCTCCCAAAACCACCATTTTCTCCTCTCCTCCTCTGTATCTCCTCTGATCACCTCCAAACGAACTGTCATCCAAGAACCTTACAGACGCCCCGGACAGCCCAAAGAGAATAAATTTCCCTGGGAGAAAATCAACTTTGACTTATCCAAAGGTTTAAAGGGCATCAAGAAAAACTTTGCATTGTTGAAAAAGGAGTTTGCAGAACGCTGGGTTGGTCCCGAAGGCAAGCAAATCATTGAACATATGTTGGAGCAAAACAGAGTTGTGTGGGAGTTCAGAGGAGAAGAGAGCCTTGAGGAGTGGACTGTGTCTTCAGATCGAGAGATTGGTGGACAAAGTGAGGCGTATTTGAAGCTTGGAAGGAATAATAATACATGCTTGCTCTATGGGACTCTGAGTTCAACACCACCCAGAGATGGAGAGACGAGATACAGCGGCTACTGCACAATGAGGTCCAAGCAAAAACTGGTACAGTATTAAAAATTTAACACATATGTCTGTTTAGAAAGAGAGACAGATACATTTACTTACAAGGGAAGGAAAGGCCTCGCTATTACTTTGCTCAGTTTCAGTTGGTGATGAAATGGTTAATTCACTCAAAGTATTTCCTGTGGAAGTTTGTCTGCCACATACAATGTAAAAAGTTGTCCATAGCTAGCTCCTTAACTAGCTCCTCAGCTAACCCCTTGCACAGACTACATGGATACAGGAAAAACAACTCATCTCATAAGATCCATTACTCTCTGACACTCCTTTTTGAACTGCGCATGCTGCACTTCTTAACTGATTAAAATCCAATGTTATGATGTTAAAATCTGAGCTCAAAAAACAAAACTGCTCAGTGCATGAGCCAGAGCCAGTGGTTGACTGCCACAAAAGCAGAATTGTTTTCTGAAACTTTCCAGCACAGTTACTGTAGTCTAAGCAGTTATTGGTGGACAACACATTACAATTACAATTAATACATTTTCTCTCTCAGGCTTCATTTGACAGAAAGAAACACTTTGATTGGACCAGTTTCAACACTCTTCATTTAAGGGTTCGAGGAGATGGTCGTCCGTGGATGATCAACATCGGCTGTCAGACTTTCTTCTCTCATCAGAATGATGACATCTACAGCTACTTCCTGTACACAAGAGGGGGGCCCTACTGGCAAGACGTCAAGGTAAGAAAAACCCTCTTAAGCTTTAATGTTGCACCGAAGCTGTTACATACTCTTTGGTTTTAACGTACATGTGTTTGTGTGTCAATTTCCTTTAGTTATTTCATGTAATTCAATACCATAGCACTGTATGACAAACACTATCATTGCAAAATCAAATACCTGTTTTATAACAAAGGAATCAATGTTTTATAAGTGGCACTGTCACTTATGTGTTTTGTTATGACAGATACCCTTCTCTAAATTCTTCCTTACACATCGAGGGAGGATACAAGACGATCAGCACTGTCTGTGGCTGGATAAGGTGTGTGAATGCGAACGCACTGACCCTTCCCTCAAGATCATGTTCTGTCTTATACAGTAGTTATAACTCAATTGTAATACAATTGTTTTGGTTTGTTATAGGTGAACACTATTGGTTTCACTCTGGGAGATAAAGTGGATGGGCCTTTCCAGTTGGAGATAGATTTTATTGGTGTTTGTAAAGACTACGCTCACACTGAGGACTTTGCCTACGAGGTTTACAAGAGAAACCCTGAAGTTTGAAGACTCCTACTAACTATGAACTTTAATTATTAACTTATGAACAGATAGAATTTTGACCATGTTGTTTATTTGACAATAAAAAAAAACTACAGGAAACTATATACATCGCCAAAGTCCTTTATTAATTTTCACAAAAAGTAAAAATAACATTGTGAGAGCACATCTTTTGACTTGAACATCAAGGACACCAATACACATAAATGCATCATTCTGACAGCGCTAAAAACTGGGCATAAAACACAAATGATCAAAGCAGTAAAAAGTAAAGCAGCTACTTGTACTAAACACAGAGATATTTACAGAGAAACTGTACAATGGCAAGTCATGTTCACATCATGACAAGGCCTCGCCGAGCTCCCAGGAGATTATTCTTCTTCTGTTTTCTGTCTTCGTTGTGTTTCACTCTCCTGTCGTCCCTATACAGCAAAAAAAAAAATCATGTTTTAGAGCTGTGCATTTCCAGGGTAATTCGAAGGAAAAACTAAATAAGTATTCTATAAAATAAACAAAATTCTTTCAATGGATAGCCTAGAATCACTGTCATATTGCAGGGTGGGCAGACCTCTAGATACTTTTAAAGTACTACACATTAAGACTTTTCCAAATTGGACCACATCACAGGTGACACTAAAATGTATGTACTTGAACTTACCTCGTCTGAACTTTGTGCTGTTTGTAATTTTTCTGATGCGAGTTCATAGTGATTGACTTGTTGGCTGACGGGTTCTCTTTAGTTTCTCCAAACGGCTTCAGTTTTCCTACAAAAGGAGTAGAAACAAACAGTAGAATTACTTAAATACATGTCATTCCTTTTATCTACCGTAAATATGCTCTGTGCTTGCTATGTACCCGTGTGTGGTTTATAGCTGAGGGGACGAGCCAGACTCGCTTTCAGGTCAAACGCATTTTTCTTCTGTGTCCCGGGAGTGGTGCTGGTGCTTGTGTTTCCGGTGAAAACAAAGGTTCCTTAAAATACCAAATAAAAGAAAACATTTATACACCAGTTGTACTTTTACTAAAACAAATTACTCTTGTTCCAGATTAAACTGTCAATTCATTAGTTGGTGTAAATGTACCTGGTGTTTTGGTGGCGGACAGAGTTGTAGCTTTGACAACATTCGCCTTCACTCCTGGTTTCTCTTGAGGAGTGCTGGAGGCCACACAGGGAGACATCCGTGCTGGGGTCTTTATCAGAGATTTCTTGTGTTCATTGTCTTTAGTAGCCTCCGAAAACCTGCACAAAAAAACATGCAATCTTAAAGAAATACAATCTTTTATTTTATTTAGTTAATTGCAACATTAAAACAAGTGAGGGTGATAATTTAGAAAATGTTTTACATAAAATGCCAACAGACTAAAAGAGATTAAAATAATTACAATGGGACCAATTACGTACCGTACATTGATTCTTCGTGTTGACAGGACAGTGGGTTTGAAGGGGACATCCTCTTTTCCGACAGATTTTTTGGGTACAATTTTAGTCTTAGAGGCTGAGAGTAACGTGTGTCTGCGCCTCTCCTCTACCTTTGCTTTACTGACAGGAGCTGGACTGAAGAGGGAGGTGTGCATCTGCTTTGGTTTCTGAGGGGGGAAAAAAAAGCACTATTAAATGATACAACCATTTGTGAAGATTAAATTCAACATATGTTGTCCACTTCTTCTTTGTCGAATTGTATTTTATAAACTTACCTCTTCAGATGTGCCTTTAATCTGCTGCTTAGTTTGATCTGAAAGCATCTAAAAAGTGAAAAAGTTATTACTGTCCCCCCAGACCCGATGTATGGTTTAAAATTGCTCTGAAGTAGTTTTGTACCTTCAGCTCCTTCACTGCATTTTTATAAGTCTCCATTTGTTTGGTTTTCCTCTGGACATAAGAATCAATGGACTCCATTTTGTTGAACTGTGCCTCATGAAGTTTCTTAAAGTCTGCGAAAATCATAAAGCATAAATTTACCAAGAAGAGAAAACATTAAGTAGCACTAGTAACAGTTGTATACTGTGGAATAAAGCTGTAAAATAAAGTGACAGTAAACTTACTGGGAGTGACAGGTTTCATGGGCACCTTCTTCTGTAGACGAGGGATTTTACCACCTTTGGGAGCTGCAATTAAAAAAAGATATATTGACAGCAAACTCCACTATGGAACGCTCAAGTAATGTTGCATCTTGTTTGTGATTTTTACCTTTGATTGCAGCTTCTGGCACCTCATTTGCTGTGGGAGCCTCAGTTTTCTCAGTCTTGGCCAACACTCGTCTCCGTTTCGCAGATCCAGATGCACCTGGTACAACTGACTCCTAATAAATGAATGGACGTTTTGTTTCGTTTCCTTTAGGCAAGACCAGTGTTGGATAGTTGAATGGCATTTGGTGAATTATCAAACTCCAAATACTAGTAATTTGTCAAATATCAACTACATCTCTGTGTATATGCAAATAGTTGATGTTCATTCCACCTCTTAATTAAATTACTATGTATATATGTCCTACCTCTGGACTACCGGCAGCCTCTTCGGCGCCAGTCTCGGGTCCTGCAGAATCACACATCTTTCTCTTGGCCCCTGGTCCCTTCCCTCGGCGTGTGTTGACAAATGCAACAGCAGGGGAACTCTTTGCTTCTTCCTTTGCTGGGTTTGGGGGATCGGGAGGAGCGTCGTTTACTGTATTCTGTATGAAAATGAGAATCGGTCAGAAAAATGCATAATGGGAACAAGAAATGACACTGGACAGAACTTGCCATAAAAAGTTCTTACATTGTTGTCCTGATGTTGTTCTTTCTTTTGCTCGTAGTGTTGTTTGACGGCTTTAAGCAGTTTGTCGGCCTGTAGATGAGTAAATATAGGTTAAATTCAGTGTGTTGAAAACTAGATATTGAAAACCAGAGCAGAAACCCAGCATTTAGCTTGAGTGTGCGATTGTGCTGTGATCTAACGTAAAATAATTTAACTTTTTGCGTGCATTACCTTCATATTAGCTTTAAGCCCCAACTCCTTAGCAAGCTTTTGTAAGTCCGCATATCTCATAGAGTCCAAATCCATGTTTTGATCAGTCATTTAATAAAAAAAATAAATCCCTTCGATAAAGCGACGCACACACGGTATGTTTCTTTACTCAGTGGGAGGAGGCGGCTGACGGTTAAAACCGCTCTGATTCAAAATAGACCAAAACACGGCTTCTGATTGGCTAAGAAGCCTTAGCGGAAGTTACGTTCAGCCAATCAGAGTAGAAATAAACAATAGTTCTTCGCTTAATGCTAAATATTTTATTTTCCATTATAAATTATATATTATAGAGAAGTAATTTTACCCATTGTTATAGTTCGTTTTTAATAATATTAATGTTTCTAGTATTTTTTTTTTTTATGGCTTACTCCATTTTCTATTTATTTATGAACGTCTACCATTCAACTTGTGAAAAATAAATCATCCTATGATTCATTTTTACTTTTACTCATATGCTCTGAAAATAAAACTAATAATCTTTGATGGAGAAGAAAGACGCGTTTACTGCTTCCAGACAGCAAGTGGCGCAATTTCCTATACGCTCGTCAAAGGCAAACGAAGATCATACAAAGAAGACACTGCAGCCAAATTCAAACAAACATTGCGCCAGTGCAAGATTCATTCATCCACAAATACATGAAATAATGGAGTTTCACAATACTTCGATAGTGCATCGCTCGGACCATGTAAAGTTGCTTTCTGAAATAGACAGACGGCGGATGACTTTCCACTGTGAAAAGTGCAACACGGTTTTAGGAGATGGACTGAGCGTCTGCGGAGAAGTCAAGACCATGGGCTGCATCCTGTTTTTGAGTGAGACTGCTTCAATTATTTGCAGAAAAATGCACAAGATTTCAGAAAAAAGCTAAATTACTAACAAGGCCTTTATACTAGCAATAGTACAGTATATTTTTATATTTATCTTCCCAGAAATGTTGTCAAATCCTACTAAAAATAGCATTTTTATTAGCAAGAGAAATAAGTTATTTTACAAAGTTATTATTGTCAGTTTAAGTTTACTGAAGAATATTTAAGTAGTAATATTAGTCCTGACCTTGTTGTTTCTTTGTTATGCAACCGAAATACAAAACTAGCCTATTCATATTTAAATTCAAAGTTACACAGATTAAGTGTACTGTGTGTATGTTTTATTTCCTGTGGTAACTAATAATGTAACAAAACGTGTGTTGTGTGTAAAAAGGCTTGTAAATCATGTGTTTTGTATTCTTCCTCTCAGAAGTAACCAAAGATATTGTCATTAGTGATGAGAAGGAGACAGAACACAAAGGAGACTTGGCTCATTGGTAAGTTCAATAAAAGACTCTTTGAAGTATGTTTTGAGTCTAATGTGTACAGCATTTTATTTATTTTTTTTACATACACAGGATTTGGAATTAGACATGTTATCAGTTCCCTACATCTGTTAATTATGATCACAAATTATAATCAAGGCATATTTTATTTTGTCCTCTCTTCACAGTATATACAGTTTTCTTTCTTGCCGTTGTTGTCGTTCTTTCGTTGGGAGAATCATTCACTCGGCTTCAGCTCGACTCTCAAACTGCCGCTCCATGTTCTTGCTCCATAAACCAAACATCAGCTGGTGAGATGTGTTTACATCCATCTCTGAAATCAGGAATATATTATCTGAGCATTTTAATATGTAGGCGTTAAATTTGTTCTAGTAATTTAATAAACAACAGCATATATTTTGTACATATTTTTACAGATGATATAATAAATCCACAAAGTTATATGAGCAGACTTGCACTATTAATGTACAGTGTGTCTAATGTATACATATTCAGAGCTGTTTTATCACTAGCATTACTTGAATATGTGTCTGTTTGCAGTTACCTTCTCAACAGCAGCTCAATGGTGAAAGCGACTTCAGTATCTTTTGAAGTGAAGCCTCTCAGAGAAAGCATGAAAGAGGTGAGGATAACTTTAAGTATTTAATGTTTTTAAACATAAATATATGAAGGGTTGGAGAAGTTTCTAATATCATTTATTTCGACAATTCATGTACTGTGTCTTAAATAACTGTTAATAGTATATTGCAATGTATGCTAAAGTTACAGAATTTGAAACCGATATCCCACTCATACTTTATCCTATCATCACTGTATTTATCTTTTTTAGATGAGGCACAAGTTTGAAGCAATGTACAAACAAATGTCCCACTTCAAAGAGGAACTTCCTGACAGCACAATTTCTAGCTTCTGAGACAAAAACTGCACAAGACACTGATTAGATCACTATGAACTGAGTATGTTTGTACTATAAACTCAAGCAAATGTTTTCCCTTGTGTTTGTGCAACTATTTTCTGAAATTGTAGTCCAACCCTTTTCAACAAACTGTTGGTTGAATTAACTTGCATAGTTAAACTGGCTCACACCAGATTGGTATGTGTCTGTAGGTATATCAAGATAATTCAGTTAATAAGTAACTGACAACCTGTATTATCCCAATATAATCATGAGAACTAAAACAAAAATGGCTATGTGATTGTAATAGTAGCCTCAAAAATATCCTTTTTTCTCTATATAAATAAATGTATAAATGTCATTTAAAAATCCCAACATGAGAATCTAAAACAGTAAGTCATGGTACAGGCTCATATTGGCACCATGCTGCATTTTATTGCTGTTTTTTTTTTTCCTTATTTAATACAAATCCAGACGAAGAGGCTCACAGATAGAAGCATGCCCACGTCCTCTCTCTGGAGTGCATAGTTTCTACACAATCCACCGCAAACAGTGGAAACGTGATCACCAAAGTCAATAATCACTTTGTAACATTTACCATTATTAATCTTTAGGAACAAAGGTTGACAGAACAGGTGTGACAGAACAAATACAAAGAAACCTACTCCTTTATGGTCTTATTGATGATTATATACTTTCTACGATTAAAACCAGCCAAAAATAAGCCATGCTGCTATTTGTTCATACTTCACATCACCCTTGACTAACAAGCCAGAATAAAGATGGGTATTGCACATCAAAGTTCATTTAGATATTCTGTTTATGACCAATCGCAAGCTTGTATGTAAGAGAGAATTTTATAAGCATATTTAGATGAACTTTTCTTGTTTCTGTTATGCATACACCAAATTTATATTATCCCAAAATAGTAAGCTGTACCATTTATAAGGTGACGTTCAAGATTTAAAATATCCTTTCCTGCAGTACAAAAACTACTTGCTGTGCCAAACTTTGTCCCCAGATCATCACTTATCACAACAAACATCTGATATGAACAGCCTAAGGTTACACCCATTCACATTACAAAGTTGGATTATTGCATGCAATACAAATCATTCATTGTTCACCTAAATCATGCATATTTTTAAAACCCATACATCAATATCATTGTTGCCTATGTACGTTTTCGATTATAAATTCCCACTTTACAGTGTTTGAAGAAAAAACAGAATTTTAAGACACAATGATGAGAAATGGTCTTAAATGAGGCAAAATATTACAAAGTGCTTTTCCAAACAAGTGTCAAGTATGATTGGATGTCAGTTTTGCAGCCACACAGTTACTTAAAGTCTATATTTTTAAGAGAACATATGTTGTCATTGAATGGGTTTCTGTACAAAAAAGAATATTTTTGCAAAATATGTTTGCAAAGTATTTTGGTGCAATATTGGGAAAATAGTCTTTGAAAAATATAAACATATGGGAAAGTGTGTTTCCACTATGCTACACAGTTCTTACTGAATATAACTCCCTATTCTTAAAAGGTTAAAAATAAAAAGTAGATTTAAGGAGGGCTACACTATCATTTATATATGCTACCCTTAACCACTAACACCCTGGTATTAAATCATGCATTTGTAGGTTATTGCTTCTAAATATCTAACCCAATACAATTGTATGGATAAAATGTAATGATTTTATGTTATGCAAGATCTCAAAGCAAAACGCTACATCAACTTTCTATTTGATAATTTTTGCATTTTGACTGGGATGTCTGTGGAAAATCCATTGATTTGGATGCTTCACAAGATTAATCTACAACTGGTTTGCATTTTTGAAGTATTTAAGCACTACATGCAAGACTTTTAATTGTTCCTTAAACTTTTATACTGTTGGTTTGGGAGTAGAAGTTAAATAGATACTGGACTAATGCTGCGTTCATGGCGTCCTTAGAAACATTCAACTCAAAACAGGTCTAGACCTTTATAAAAACATTAAAAAAAACACCCTTTTGTTAATGAGTAACCATGGTAATGTTATAGAATATAATATAGACAACATTACCATTGTTGCTTTACCAAACTGTTTTCAAGGCAGGAAACAAATGAGAAAAATCTGAGGACCACATGAACATAGCACTAAACTGCTAATCTTGTTACATCATAAATTTAAATTTCCCAATACCTGGATTGATTAAACACTACACATCTGAGTTCCATCTTAAGATTAAAAGTGGGTTTCTTTTACTATTTATTTGTCAAAGCAAGCGTTACTACTGGTCATGCATGGCTACATTAATGTTGGCTAAGCTAAATGCTAATGCACATGAGTCTATACATATCTTAATGGAAGACATTGGTGATTTTGTTGCTTTTCAAACAACTTGTCACTTGTTTACTTTTTACAATATACAGTTTGGTCAACAACATGACAGTTTTTAGATAAAATATTGCACAAATCCCGGTTTAACATGATAAAATACAAGCAAGACAATAGAAAAGAAAATGGAAGATATTTTAGAAGAGTGGAACCAGGGTTTTTCTAATGGGTGAACTCAATCCATAAAATAATGAAAGATATATGAAGGATTGAATATAGGTAGTGCTCGAGACATGGCACTAATATACTTTTAAATACTACTTAAAATGGTCAGCTACACTCTCCATTGCTTCTGAGACTACTGTGTATGAACATCAGTTTAAAAAGGGAAGCAAAAAAAATGAGAACTAAAACATTATAGTTAATTATTGAATTCTATTCACTTTGACTAAACTTAACAACTTTTCAATTCTAAAACACACCCAGGGAGAAATTTTAAAATAAAATCTATATTTTGGCAAGCTCCACAGACACTGATGCATAGAAGACAAATTCTTTGAAGTTTAGACTATATTTTGGGCTTTTTCACCACTGCCTGAACTCTCACTACTGTCATAAACCAAAGGCATTTTACTCAAGTATAAAACTGCTACTAATTTTACTATTTTTTGGCAATGAGGTAGTGCAAAACAAAACTATATATAATATGAGGCTATCTGAATCACAGGCCTTGATCTTTGCTACAGTAGATGTGTCTTCATAGAAAAAATAGGAAAGGTTAGCCATTTGTTCTTAAACTATTCTTACATTTTAAGCTTTCAAAAGGGTTTTTATGACTGACAGACTATGCTCACGCACAAAAAACAATTGTTTAGAAAGTACAAGGGAAGAAGGTAAATTTGGATGACCAAAAGAAAGATGTACCCTCATGTATTTAGCCAGTATGCGCCTAATGGTGAGACAATGATTCTTCTCACAGATTTATTTGCAGAAGTGGGACAGGACCAGAGGGAGGACTGGAAGAGAGAAAGAGAGAGAGAAAGGGAGAGATTGCAGAAAACTGCCGGAGGATGGGCAACGATGTCCTAAAGCCCAAATGAGGTCATCTTCATAATGGACTCTCATTTTCAGCACAAAGGGTTGGATGGGTGCAGAAGGTGGCTCCAATGTGGGCTACTGCTGGTTCATCTTCTGTATTCATGTTGCCTAAAAATATATAAGGTTAAGTAGCATTATTATACCCAAGATACATATACTTTTTATGCATACCACTACCCACAGAAAACTAATTATTCTCTTCTACACAGGTAAACACTAAGAATAACAATTTTACGTGCAATCATAGTACGTTTTAAGATACTTGTTCTAGCATTGTCTCTCCATTGAATGCCATTTCACAACATCCTTTTTTTCTGTTAAATTAGATGGACAACTTTTTTATTTCAAGGAGGTGATATTCAATACAGATAGTGATTTTCATAGGCTATAGCTCTCTCGTACGTACTTATGTAACTCTTAAGACTCTTGTGAGTAACTGTGGCAAACTGCGTTATTGCGTAAAATTAAGCTTCAAGTTGAATGTAATTTAAATAGCCAGATATAAAGGATGTTATTTAGACTGATGAGCACTGACCTTAGCTGTGGCTTTAGCTGCAGCGGCACACAATGGTAAACAAAAGCCAAAGGATTTCCATGTCCGCGGTAATGCGTCTCTCAAACAAACTGTACGGTTGCTCTTTTTCCGTTACTTAAACACGGTCAAGTTGTGTCCTTTTTAATATTAATCTCCGCACATTCCTCCGGAGAAACTCCAGTCTCCCCCTCGAAAGGACGGAGAAGGTCCCCTCGTCCCCTTCTTCACCAGCCTCAGTCCGACGCCATTTTTCCTCTCCCACCTCGAGCCAAAGAAAAGGCGCGCTGATTGGACGCAAGGGCTGTCAATCAAGCGCCAAATCCCCACCCCGGAAGCAGTCGAACCCGAACTGTCAACTGCAGCAGAATAAAGTTTGATGTATGATTCAGACCGTTCACTTTATTATGTAATAGATTAATGATTCACTTTTGCCTGGAATGTAACACAGTAAGGTATTAAACACATTCATCGAACTTTTTAAATTACATTTTTATAGTAAAAACGAACTTTTCAATTATTTTACATGCATTTTTATTGTGAGCGTGATTGCCGTTCCACAGATCTGATCTATGGTTGGTAACATCACCACTTTGTCTCCATGGAAATACATAAGTTTTGGTGCAGTGCTGTGGGACATACTGTAACTAAAAACATTAAAATGTAGGCTTTTGCCACTAAAACGACTTCACTGTTCCAGTAATGAAATTAAATTGTACTTGATGATATGTGAGGTACTGTGTCCAAGTAATTTCCCTTGTGGATCAAAAGTTTGCCTGTTTAAAGCTGCATCTGTAATTCAAATCTTCACATATATTTCATTATAAATAAACACCAAAACCATGTATGGCACTTATTTTATTCAAATCAAATCCAAGAATCACTGATGACAGCTGGACCAAAATCACATTACATCTGACCGAGGATCACAAAATGGCCGTGCTGTTTGCAGTAGTTTCTGGATGGTTCACTTATAATTATTTAACAAACACACAAGATTAAGATTAAAGCATAAGACGTAGTGTTTATAAAGACTACCTGTACATACAATATATTAATAGAAAGAATAATCTATATTTTCCCTTGGGGTTAGGTAAACTAACCAGACAGGAAGAGAATGATGTTGACACTAAACAAGGCATAGATGTTGGTTTCCTATTTTATGTCAACAATTTAAACCGATGCAAATGGACAACAGATCGCAGGAACAAACAACATTTAGTGACATGATCTTGGTGAAACTTGCTTGAAAGACTTGTGTGTTTTGGTTAAATTCCTTCCTTTGCCCAAAAATAGATACTTCAGTATTGTGTGAATATAATCCTATGATAGTGATTCTCTGTGATATAGATACAACTAGACTCTGTACTAGTCTACTGGTAGAACTGGAGTCTTGATTTAATTTCAAATAAATGTTTAGTAATACTATGGTCAGATTTGACCTACCGGTCTCAAATAAAGTTTTTGTTTAGTCCAAGTTAATCCTAGTTTATTTTTGGTTTAGTGAACTCAAAGCAGTACTTTTCAAATCAAATACTGTGTCTCCCCAGTCCCAGAGACAGGGAGATAATGAGGAATAAAAACTATTCAGCACAGATTAAGTTTTAGCATTGGACAGCATTTGAAATAGGTCCTTCATCCTACACAAATTATTGGCAGTATCTTGTATGATACAATGCAAAAACTAAGCTTTAGCTTATCTTTAGCTCATTAGTGCTGATATAGTGTCCAACATAAGAGAACCTAAACCATGGCACTTGTGGATTAGAAATTATATATTTAGCCACTTTTGCATTCAACTGTAATAATAGAATTGAGTTTGGAGATACCAAATAACAAAAAATACGAAACAACCACCCTTTTTATGGCAAGATGTATAAACAGTAATCACTTTTGCATGTACTACAGAAGCAAAGTTAATTGTACCATGGTAAAAAAAAAAATAATAATAAAAATCATTATCTAATAAATAAAGGTGTGACTGATCACTTTGCATAAAACTACCCAAGGCACACAACTTCCATTTTCCTGGTTTGAAGAGCACTGAGGAGTGACTACCACACACTTATACACTTCATCTTGCTGAGGGCTGCAGCAGCTGGAGGAAAGGTTGAAATGATTTGTGTCCAAAAACCTTTAAAATGTAACTTAGTGGAGAAACCGGATGCTCATTTTCTGCTCTACGTCCACCTTCTCCAGCACCTACCACAGACAAAAACAGGGCAATATATTTATAAATTCACATGACCAGTTGATGGTTGCACAGGATCAGCCCTTTTGATATTGGCTTTAGTTTCCTTACACAAACCAGTGCATTACCAATATACAAGTGTGAATGCTGTCAGTTAAAAAGAAAAGTTTGGCTTTATCTGGTGATAATCTTCACATATCATAAGGTTACATTTTGTTTATGAAACCACAATAAACATCTAAACATAAAAGAGTTGAAATTCTGATAGATGCAAAATAAAGAGGGATCCATGTTTGACAATCAACAAAGGTAACTTACTTTTCTCTTTCCTAATAAATATTTTTCTTTAATTTAAATCCACAATATCAAGGAAATTACAAATTACACATCCATTAACGAGTGTCTGCTATAAAACTGTAATCTATGAGACCGGTGGATCATTATGTTATAATTTGCTAATTTTAATTAATGTAAAACGACTTAATAAACAAAACAAGTTCGCTGACTTCCACATTAGAAAACTGCGGTGCCCAATGAGAGCTGACATCGTAAATTACATCACAACAAAGCAGTGGGCGTATGCTGATAGCAGTGAAAATGGGAGTTGATAGGCAAAATGGTGCCTTTAAAATAAGCAATTAAAGATTGCTCAAACAGACCTGAATCACTCCAAATCCAACTTCGGGTGAATAAATGGTGAGGGGAAATGACTAGAATATGATTAAAAGCTCTGAAAACTTGAATTTGCATAACATATCTGCTGTAAGAGGTAGACTTTAAATAAAAACAGCTTTTCTAAAAGATTCAGGCATTACATTATGTAGCCAAATTTCCTTAACTGTAATCTACCTCCTCCTGTCCTAATGTGGTCACTGTGTTTTGTCTGTACCTTCATGAACTCGCTGAAGGAGATTGAATTGTCTCCATTGGTGTCTGCTTCCTGGATGGTTCTGTCTGCGATGCTGCCGAGCTGTTCGTCTGAAATATTCACTCCAACCATCATTCTCAAAACCTGAGAACAACAAACATGTAAATCTTTAATATGCTACACTCAGTGATTAGAGCAGTGGTGCCCCAACCTGAAGGTCGAAGGAGTTGGAGTGAATGAATAATGACTACAGTGTAGCCCTTTGAGGGGCTTTGATAAGCCTGTAAAGTGTAAGGCATTATTATTATTTACCACTGGCACCACATAACTGACGTGTCTTGTGGTTAACACATAGATATTAGAGTGACAACAAGCTCCAAATGTGACTATGATTTAATTTGTAGCTCTTGAGGAACAGCAAATAGTTTACACCTAAGCACCAAGCACATTCAGTAAACTACAATGAGCCTATTTCAGTCTACAAACAAGACTAGATTTGGACCAGAAAAAAGCAGATCTGGGAGGTCAAATATTACTAGTTCTTTACTTCACAATTTCTGGTAGAAAGTATGCCACCTGTTTTCTCAAAGAAGATCTTATTGTTTGCTTAGAATGTTCCACAGTATGGCTACACCCTTCCTTCGAGACAAGCAGGAGGCATGGCTGGTCAAGTTAAAGGTCAGATCAGTGGAGAGGCAATATCTTAGTTTAGATTTTACTTACACTGGTACCTGACCATATTTAAGATCATATATTTAATATCTTCAAGTGTTTGATTTGGAAAAATGTTCAAAAATACATGCAGTAAATTTGTTTTTACTTTGATGATCACTCCACAAAAATTGTTATTTACTTTACTGACAAATAAGTGACAAATAAGTGACAAACATGACTTCAAGTTGTACTTGGCGAAGCAGATTGAAATAGTATGTCAGGTGACATCTCAATATTTTGAACTAAACAGAAGATTAGCTTGAGTCATTTAACCCGGACTTGAAGCAATTACAGGTCACACAATGTCACCAAAACAGTCTGACCGAATGAACCTGGAGTTTAAGGCAGATATCGTATCATTATCAGGACCAGAGCAAAGTTTCGTCATCTTGAAAGAGTACTTTGAAATTCAGGTTACATAATAGAGATGTCTCAAGTTGTAAGTACCACAGTTATGGGAAAGTGAAGAAGAAAGCTTAGGGCATTGTAATGGACTAGATGTTGTTGGGGTTTATCTATTGCATTTAAAAGCAATAAACTGTTCACAACAAAGAGCAAATTAAGCAGTATGATATGGAGCTTTCTCTTGGACATTTTTTTTAATTTCATGTATTCAACAGATTCTGAATTACAATGAAGACAGAAAGAATTATAACTGAAAGTTGAATTACACTCTTTAGATTAGGGGTGCCCAAACCTTTTTGCATAGTGGGTCAAAATAAATAAACATTAGCAGTCCGAGGGGAAAAAAGCTATCTAAAAACATACCTACAAAAAGATTTATAATGAAATTATATTTACTTATTTTTATTATTATTATTTTAAATATTTTTTTATTCTGCTTTTTATTGTGCTGTTTACGAGGAATGGAAGGATTTGGGTATTTGAAGCACATATCTTGTATCTTTGCTTGTATGTAGAATATAGTACTTCAACTGCCTGGCTTAGAATATAATTTGGCTTTTAACACCACGTGACTTGTTTGGGCCTCTGTGTCTTTTATTTATTTTTAGTTTTTTTATCTTTTAATTATTTACTGGTATTCTTGCTCTTATTTGATTTTACCAGTGTTAGTGTCTTAATGAGGACTAGTGGAGCTTTAGTTTATATTTCTATTGATATGTTTTATCTGTATCGTGCAGCACTTTAAAAATGGTTTTGTTTATGAAATGTGCTATTATATAAAAATATACTGATCCTGCAGTTTTTTAAATGCAAGACAGATTAGTTCAGGCTGTGACCAAAGTTACACAATAATTTAAATAGTGTTGTGGCTAGCAGCATTAACAAACAAAACAGTTTCATCAGTTCCTGAAATCATAAAACAAATACAAAAGCATATGCTGTAAAACATAGCTTCTAGTACCCATAATAATCTGATCAGGGGTGATTTGATTGAGTGTTGGTGGGACGGGTGTGGCTGTGGAAAGGACGCAATAGCACCAACTCAAGAGGAGCTTATTTTAGCCTTTTGTTGTAGAATAATGAGCCGAAATCTGAGTTGCATGAATCAGGTCTGACCCTCCCACTCTCACCTGTAGCAGCTCGTCCCTGGAAATCTTGTCATCCCTATCCAGGTCATACAGCCGGAATGCAACTGTAGAATAAAATAAATGAATTAATATAGAAGATTTTGAATTAGTTAAATGTATAAGAGAGACTCCCAAACATTTTTCAATTTATAACTAACCTTACAACTACCACTACTCTTGAATGACCGTGATCATAAGACATCATGACATCAGGACAAAAACCAGAAGGAAGTAGGAACTAAACAGAAAAACTAACCCAAGATGTGCACCAAAAAGGAATGAAAATTAACTAGGACTAAATTACGTACATAAAATGGATTATCTAATATTTTACATTTTGCAGTTTGGAAAATAATGAATGACTTAAATGGTCTTGATAAAAAAAAACTAAATAAAAAACTAAACCAGGACTAACCCCGGCTCCTACATTATAAGGGACTACAACAGAACCAGGACAAAACTAGGTCCAAACCAGAACTAAATCTTTGCTTAACCTACCAATCTACAATCACGGCTTCACTGAATGTACCCAAAACTGGTCATGAATCAGACCCATTTCATTTAAAAGCAGCACTTACAGAGGAGTTTGTTTGTTCTGCTATTTAGAGGCTCAGACGTTGCAGCATTTTTGTTTTTCTCGTTGTCTTCAATCGGTCGGAAATGTGCCAATGTTCGCATGAAGCCTCGGAAATTTACCTGGTCCTCCCTGAAACCACAATTTGCAGATTTAGACAGTCCTATTTTGATTTTTGCGGTTTACATTTATGAGAGCGGTGGCAATTCAACATCACTGAAATATTCCCTTGTCCTTGAAATCTTGGGCAAAACAGGAAGAACAAGTCCAGCTAAACCCAATAAATCCAATAAATAACAAGTTTAAAATGTGTGAAAAAAGGATTCTTTAGTCTTGGATGCTGATGGCTCAAAGCTATAAGGCAAACCACTACATTGCTCATAAGAAAAGGTCCATAATGAGTAGGCAAAAAAACCCTGCTTGTCGCTATGGAGATGTTTGGAATATTTCACCGCAAGGCATTAAATTAATCCATCTAGTCAAGTTACAGGTTAGGTCTATGGAGAGGCGAGCCCACTAGCAGTAACATGTCGGTTATTCAGGGCATTTTTAAGCAATAAAAGCACCCATAATGTGATACTGTCAGAAACACTCCAGCCAAAGTCATGACATCTCCATTGTGATAGATAGCAGACCCTCCAATACAAAAGTTACATTGTGCGTCTTTAAATATAGAAAAAGCAACATTATTTAAGGAAACATACTTAAATAATGTCCAAAACGAAAATAAATGAACCTATAGCCATATTTCTATCAGTCATCACCACTGCATTGCACAAATACCAGACATAACCCACCCCTCGGGGAAGAAGGCGTTGATGATTCTGTCGCCCAAAGGATTAATGGCCAACTCAGGAATCCTCTGGAAATCTTCTCGACTGAAAACAAAATATCAAACAGTGTTACTAAAAATAATTTGAGAAAGGTATAGAGGTTTCAAAACATATAATTAATACTAAGTTGATTAACTTGAAGAAACTGTCAAATAATATCAGGATCAGGAATGCGAGCAATTTGTCAGATTTTGGAAATTATCTTCATCCTGTTCACCTGTATTTTCCAAAACTATTCATAACGCTAATAAAATGTGAGGAAGGGTTCAGAAATGTAGCAAATCAGAAGAACTCTGTGGGAGTAAATAAAGTGTGTGAGCCTTGTTGAATCACTTCAAAGCAGTACAATACTGGGAAATGGTAACAATTTGTCAAAGGGCAAAACCTCTTTCAAGTTAGTTATTACTAACAGGGGAGCATAACTTGTATGACAAAGGAACATTATAAAAGCTGTGAATTAATTTAATCAGAGGCTGTATGAGTAAGGTTCTACATGTATAAAAGGCATGCAAAGTAACATTTTGGCAACAAAGAGATAATAAAAAGTCACCTTGATCCTAAACAGAGCAGAAAATGTTGTGACAGTAAAGTAACAGGGCACAAAGTGCCAGAACAAGACAGACTGGCAGTTTGTTATGTGTAAACAATGACATTCAACTAGCTTTGAAACTAACGGTAGCTTTTGTTTGTTGACCCTTAAAAGTTATAGAAGAAAAGAGTAAGGAATGTTTAATGATTACTCAAGTCTTCATCTATTAGTTATTTTGAGAACAGAGGATAAAGTCAACACATGGTAAATAGCAAACTACAAAAATCAGTAACTACAAATGCAAATGTCCCCAAGAGGAGTCTTTCACCAGGTAAATTGAAACTGTTTGAAATAAGCATTGATTTGGGAGTGATTACATTTGAGATCAAGTTAACAGGTTTGTGAATGTAGTTGTTTAGCATTTTAATGCAGTTATTTCATTGTTTTTTTACAACAACTGGGACATACAATAGAAAAATTCAAATGCAAAAGGGAGGAAAAACCAAGGACACAAGTTAATTATGAAAGCATTCTTCCTCGTACCTCTTTGTAACAGTTACAAGGGCTTCTTTGTCATTGGAGACTGACAGTAGTTTAGGAAACACTGATCAAAGTTTGCTCAAAATGTCAACTTCAAGTATGGCATCCAATAGATCACTCAAGATCCTGCAGTAGTAATGCGATTCATACATTACAATCACAATTTCAGACAATAAAGACAACAAAAGGTATCTTCTATAATGAAGATACTAGCTATCGACAAAACATTACAGTATGTACATTAAATTGTTCTCTTTGGTCTTACTAAAGTTTACACAGAAAATCCCAAATCCCAAAAAAGTGTATCTTTGAGTCTTAAAAATGGTAGACATGTTGCATTTTATGAAGTAATTAAAAGCATCATTGGACAATTAAATGTCAGGTTTTCTTTTTTGATCTGATGACTTATTCTACGTGATTGCTTTTAACAGATAGTAGTCCTACTGATCCATATATTTAATCACTGTAGTATGTTTGTTATCAGACCAGCTTACCTCAGAGTACCGTTTTCACCTTTGTCCAAGCTGGTGAAGCGGCTGTACAGGCGAGTGATTTGACTGTGAGAAACTGGAAATTACACAGATAAAACGCTGATTAGGATGAAGCAAGTATGAATAAGATACGCACACACATATAGATAGCCATATAGACAGTATCATTATTGAATTCAGCAATGTCATCTATATATAACAAAATATTGCAAAGCTATAACATACTGACATAACTTACATCCAGTTTCCTTCTTGATTTCTTCTATTTCCTCTTCTCTCAATAACGTCGATGCACGGGACCCCATCGTGAGAAGATTGAGATGTTTAAAATTATCTTATGAGGTTTTAAAACACTTGTCTTTCCTTATAATCAGATATTAGCACAAATTGTTCTCGGTTGTTAGCAAACAAGCTAACAGCTAAAGGCTATCTAGATGCTAAAAGAACAAGATTGGTGAATGTTCGCTGTTATTTCAATAGTTTATGTCCGATGTTATAAAGAGGGTGGTATTTGTGTCCAGATTTCATGGGTTTTCTTCAAGAGATCTTCTTGTTTTATGAAGGAGGAGGTGAAAAAGAGCAGAGGGCAGGTTCAAAATACGCAAAACTACTCACACTCCCTCTGCGCTTCGTTTACAGGTGAAACACAGAGCCGTTCTAACTCTCTTCTGCCACCTGCTGTCCAAATATATAGTCACAATCGGGTAATGCATCTTCTGAAACCAAAGACGTTAATATCCCCAAAATAACTATGCAGCCAAATCATGGCAGTAATTTCAACACTTAAAAATAGGATTAATATAGGATCAATCTTGTTTACTTTAATAGTTATTGTTTGACTGATTTTGATTTACAGTATTTTACTATTTTACTGTTTTCAACTGAAAAAATTAGCTGAATCCTTGGTTAAAGTCCACACAACTCAATAACCTTTTAGTTTCACACTGTCCTAAAGACTTTGAGGTTTGAGAAAAGTAAACCCAGCAACGCCATTCTGCTTTCTGGATTTGAACAGTACTCATAATTACGATAAAATTACAATTCATCAATATCCCCCAAATAACAATGACATATTTTTATTGTTTTGGAAAGTAATGTATCATTTGTTGTTGTTTTTAGCAGTGCATGTGTGAACTTTAATTGGACAGAGTAAAGGGTGAAAATAAGTGATAACATTGTAATAGTAGCTGTTATAATAGCTGTAATAATAGTGCAGTTGGAGTGACCACAGTGGCAGTAGTCATATAACGTAATTGTAGCTGTAATTATTGTGGTGGTGTATTGCAAGCATCTTTATAAATAAAAACTAAGTCATTAATACTTGTGTAATAAAATGAACCAACAACTCAATACCCCAAATTAGACTATATTAAATGAAAGAGACAGAAAATTGGCTTGTAAAATTTTATTTATGATCCCCCTGACAAGACTCATGAAGTTCAGTTAACATTTAGTTTGTATTTCCTCATATCAAACCACATTTTCAACATTCACATCAGGCCATAAAGCATTCAGCAACAAATGACACGTCAGTAATCTAAAAACACGATTAAAAAATATAAAAATTACCCATATGGCTCACAGTGAAAGTGCAGCTCATCATAAAACCAGTTAAAAAAATCAAATTAAAATCAGTTCACATATCAACAAGTAAAACAGTGCACTCATAATAATATAGGCTTGGTTTGATTGGTGTTTCAGCAGTGCAAAATGCAGTTCTCTCTTTTCACAGTAAAGGAGAGGGGCAGATCCTTTTAGAAGCTAGGGAGGCACACAAAGTCCATAGCCTTCTGAATGCTGAAGAGACAAAAGGAACATTTAATTTAACATAGGGCTAGGCAATATGAAAAAAGCATTAACATTTATCCTTGTATTTATCTAATGTATTTGATATCTACTTGATTTAATTTTAGCAAGTAAAAATGGCTTTCAATATTATTTAATGTACCCATATAAACCATTTAAGACCAAACTGTGGAGGAAAAGATTTGACTATTTTTAACTCACATGCTTTGACTGACTGAGGATTAGTTCTAGATCTCTCCATTAAATCAGAATCAGAATAAATTTTATTGCTACTGCCAGTGAACAAAACTAATAATCTCCTGAAAATCTACTGGTACTTTGTGGTAACATCAGCAGTTACCATAGTGACATAAACACAGACAAAAAAGATTAGATTGTCTAAAAACTCAAGAAAACATACAAAATGGATTTAAACAACATTCTCAGGAGCATGTGATCAACGAGCATTCATGATCCTGTTTAGGTGTTTGGTTTTCATCAAAAAGGTGAAAGTGACTAACTGAAAAACTGTGGCTAATGCTAGCTACCTTCAGACAATCATTTTATGAGAGAGAGACTTGTTTAACAGTATTTCACCGACGGCATTAACCAAAGTTCCAAGTCAGCTTTTTCTGGTCAGGCTGTGTTAAAATAAAGCTAAGATTAAAGTCAATATTGATGTGTGATTTGTTTGAAAAGAAGGCTAGGTGTGTAGATGTGTCAGACAGATTTTGCTGATGAACTGAAATCTGTGTTGGCAAACATGTCCATATGATTTCAATATGTATAACAATTTAAAGGGACATACAGGAAGTATTATTAAACTGTACCTCTGAGCAGAGTATCCCCTCTCACACAAGTTCACCAGAGCGTACAGGTGTCTCAAGGCATATTCATACTGAAATCAGACAAAACAGATCATCACAGGTACAATGCAAGCGCTAGAGACAGAAAAGACCCAGTCAAACTTCCCCTCGAGATACACAGGTGTATGGACTTCCTTTGCTACAAGGAAAATTTGTGCAAATATGCAGCGTGAAATAAAAATTTGAAGAGTACGTTTATTTCTTAATATAAGGCTGTGCTGATATTAGGACAGATTTGCCATATCGAAAAGGCACTAAACCTGTACTTAGGCCAGGACACCGGACCGCTAGAACCGGACCAAACCAAGTCTAAATCAGGACTAAAATTGACTCAAATTAAGACCAAATGAGAAAAGGTGAACATACATTTCATAATTCTACAACATGGATTATTTTTAGTACTCTAATTATGCAGCTTGATAGATTTTCAACAATGAAGTGGGACTGGCAAAATCATGTGCAGAAAATGGAAGTGAAGCCAAATTATTTTAGATAGAAACCATAAACTACCAGATGTCATATCTGTTTTCTGTCTGCTGACATTTGACATTTAATGAAACCTCAAATGAGTTATATGTATAATTCACAAAAAATACATGCATAAAGGCTGTTCTATTGTGTTTTGTCATGTAGGCATGGTACCAGACCGAAATTTTTTGTTAAGTTTATCATGGTCAAAATAAAAGTCATCTTAAAACCCACTTTTATTCTCTGGCTTTTAACACTGCGTGAGTTGTGTGGTCCTCTGTGTCTTTTATTTATTTTATTTACTGCTATTTTATGGTTTTTGCTTTTATTTAGATTTTACTGGTTTTATTGTTTTAGGACTGGTATGACCAAATTTGAGTAGTTTACCTTTTTGTTGTCTTGATTTTATGATTTCTATGCAGCACTTTGGAAACTGCTTTGTTTGTAAAATGTGCTATAGAAATAAAGTGGAGTTGGATCTAGATTTGAAAATAACTTAAAAATAACTGAGATAAACACTAATATTACAATCATCAATCATATATCTGCTGATGGTTTAAAAATATCACAAGTATTAATAATTATGAAAAATATAAGTTTCATGTTTAAACAACTATTGCAGAATTGTAGTTTTCATTAGTAAAAAAACAACATTCAGAGTTATTGTTTTCTCTGTACAGTCTGGTGATATAAAGACTATTATCTCACTATCACGATTATACAAAATGTACCACCAAGATGTGATAAACTATATTATTGTTTATAGTCCTAGCCATATTTTTGCACAATCATTTAAAAATGCACCAGGAATGAGCTAACGTGCCAATGGACCATAAAGACAATTATGGTGCAGACATATCACTTTATACCTTAGATATGCACTTATTTAGCTCTTTTTAGGTGTGATTTTTTATTGTTTCATTTATAGACAACATATTCGATATTCTAATTTAGCTTATCTTCAGAACAACAACTGCAATATTATCCGTTTTCAGTATATAGCCGAGTGCCCACCCCTGTTCTCTGGTATGCAGCTGTACCTGAGTCTTGTGCCAGTTGAAGCAGTGGTCCCTGTAGTGGTACAGTGCAGTCTTGTAGCACTGGTGTTGGGTCAGAGGGGTCCTGCTGCTGACGATGTCTTGAGCTTTGACTTTGTCTCCGGTCACAGTGTGAACAATCTGGAACATGTTCTCTGCCAAAATTTGCCTGATCTGAAGAAATATATAACAAACCAGTATTATGTATATAGAATAGCCTGAGGGAAATTATACATGTACAGAAGAAAATGTATTGATTAAATTTTTAGATAGATTAGATTTACAAAACCAGTCAACCATAGGTACTAATAAAACCAAATAAACAAGTTAGAAGTAAACTTTCCAATCACAAAGCCATGCAAATCTAATTCTCCTTCTGAATAAACAATGTATTAATGTACAATTGCAGTGACTGCAAGATTTCATTGGCAAGTCAAACATTGTTATGACTGAATTGGATACAAGGGCTATGAAGAAAGTATTTTAGATCTAATGACAAACTGTATGCTTCCTAATCATCATCACTAGGGATGTAGTGATATCCAAATCTCTCAGTACAATTATTCATGATATGCATATCATGATATTTATTGCAATATTTTGTGGAGTCATACAGAACTGTGAATATGCTTCTTTTCCTTTTGACAAGCCTTTGGTTTTGTCATAATCCAAAGAACAAAGGGTTAAAAGTGCTTAATCTTAAAAAGTGCTTTTTCTTGCCTTAAAAACTGCCTAATTCGCTGACAAAGCCCATATTAGCAACTTTTGGCCTCCTGTGGCCAGTTGATAGTGGGGGACACACAGACACACACACACATACACATATTTTTGAAGACTTTATAACTTTAATCATGATAATTTACCTTGAGGTGTATGTCTATCTCCATGAGCAGACCCTTTGTCTCCATGATGTCATTAGAAGCCATCATCTTCCTCTTGAGGATGGCTAGTGGGACGTCAGGGCTGGGGGTGAGGTCATGGTTGGAGATGGGGGGCAGAGCGACGGGGGCAGGCTGAGACACGACTTTGGGACCACCCTGAAATTTTATCACCTTCATGTGGGACAGAGTCTGAACAGAGAGGAACAAAAGCAGATACATT